AAACAGCTGAGCTTAAGTTTTCTTATCACTTCAGGTTTGTAGCACGCTCTGAGAGCTATCCAAATCAGTATCCGGATGTCGATAATGAGTGATCTTTCACGCAGAAAAATGAAAAACAAAAGGTGCCTTAAAATTTTGTCCGCCACTTTAAAACGTTTTTATATAGTCATGTTTAGGAGAATGAGCTTCATCAAGTGCAACTATTTCGAGCCCTGTACGACCAAAACTGATGAAGTTATATTCACAAAACTTTCATGTATGAAAAAACGAGATGGTTGCATATTAGACAGTGAATTTAATTGAAGCCGGCGTTTATTCCGGGGAATTAAGCACAATTGATCCCGTTTACTAATAATTTTTAATTAGTTATAAAATAACACAACTGATCCCGGAAAAGCTCTTTTTTCTTGAATAATTGATTCCAGAAATTAGCAAGTCATGGCACCATTTTTCAATCTGAGACTCATTGAGCAGCTATGTGGTTTTTTAGTAGTAAAATGTTCTTCTTTATCATCATGACTTTCCGGCTTTCTCTTCGGTTTATGGTAGCTAGAGGCAATGTGGAACCTTTCTTAGGTGATTAATCTGGTAAATCTATATAAGAAAACACTTCAGATTAAGGATAGGTATGATTTGTTACATATAATCAAATAAGAATATACAATTTGAACTATTTATCCATACTACAGATTGACTACTTTTGTACACTGTCTTTTACGGAAAAGATAATTTGGAACAATGTATCTACAATCACATTACCTCATACCACAAAGACGACGGTCATTGGCGTCCATTGAAAAGTATAAAAGCGTTTGAAAAGTAATATTCTTCACGACGCATAATTGTTACTTCAAAAATATACTGTTATCAACCTGTCTACCCAAATATAACAAGATTTTTTTAATGTAAAGATGAAGATGAGTTATTAACAATCACCAAAAAAAATAATACACGTAAAAAACGTACAGAACAACTTGATTATGGATTATTTTGTTCAGAATATCGGAAATATCCATTATGTAAATTTCAATTGAAAGCAAAACAGTCGTCTGATGCTACATATGAATTATTTTTATGAAATATTTTCCATAATATCAATGTTTTATGCAGCTAAATCCTATGGTTAAAGTGACCTCACATAGCTGCTTAATGAGCCTCAGACTGAAAGACGGTGCCATGACTTGCTAATTTCCGGAATCAATTATATTATTCAAAAAAAAAAAGATAGATTTACCGGGATCAATTGTGTTATTTTATAACTAATTAAAAATTATTAGGAAAGCCGGGATCATTTGTGCGTTTTTGGCAAAAATTAGTAAACGGGATCAATTGTGCTTAATTTCGAGGATCAAAAATCTAAGTGCCCTGGTTATTATATGTTTTTTTATACAAATTGATGATCGTATGAAAAATAAATCCGACGTATGCGAATCAGTTGTATTTTATCTGTGAGTCTGTGTGATAGAAATAACCTCAGTTTCATATATGGCTGCTTTGGTTCGAGGAAAAGCGTGACACACGATCCCAATTATAGCACTTTTATCTTCAAATTTTCCTCAAAAGTATCATTTCCCGGTAAACGTTCCTTTACATGCTGTGAAAGTTTCGAAGGAACAGGTGCAACTGTAAAGAAACGAGGTTAACAATGTCGTTACGCCTAAGTGTCGCGCGCACCTTAGAGTCGGTGTACCATCTTTCAAATTTTTTGACAGTTTTGACATTCGTAGCTTGATTGGTTTATATACTTGTTCCTCTAATGCTAATATCTCAACAAGACTAAAAATTTCAGAAATTTGGAGAAAATAGCAAAAAGATATGTTTAGATATCAAATAGGATAATGGTAAAAATGAAGTTCTATAGTAAATATGATATGTACGTATATTTTTTATTTTTCTGTATATTCGCTGCACAAAATAATCCTCTTCCACACGTGAAAACTGAACATGTTCAAACACGGAGCGGATCACGCCCTTCCTCTCGTATTTGCACTACTGGATGACTGCAAAACACTTTATGATAGATAAAACGTAAATGACGCTTTCCTTCCATATTGGTTAGAATCTGAAAGAAATGTAATATCTAACAACTGTAGTTGTTTTTATGAAAAGGAGAAGAAAAGAGACATATTCGCAAAAAAGCTGCCGACAGGCATTTATTAATGATAACTAGTTTCACTTTCTTTATATTACTGACTTGTTAATATTATATTCTTTCTTCACAAGGACTTATCATTCTATCTTCACATTTTCATCTTTTTTATCAGAATACTCATTTATCTTGATTTTTTTTCCGTCGGTGGTTGAGTCAATAGAGAAAACTCAGGTAATTCATCGTTACGCAGGCGTAACTAATTAGATTTAGATGATGGTATAATACCTAATAACTTTTGTATAGATTGTGTCATTTGTTGTGTGTTTTGTTGCTTCTTTGTGTACAGATCTAGTTATCGTATCAGTTGACAAGTTAACTAACGTTGAATAATCACGTACATAGAGTATATTCTATAGATATGTTCAGTTCTCATTTCTTTTTATTATGCCTAATCAGATCATAAATCTTCATCCACCTCTGAAAATGTCAACAAATAAGCCTACCCATCTTTCTTGCTATGTTTATCACTTGAAAAATAACAATGATAAATGAAATAGAATAATATAAGAACTTGAAGAAAGAATATCAAACACGCACCAACATAAGTTCATCTCGTACATAGGTATCTTGGAAACTTTCGATTAATTTCATTTTTAAATAATTTTAGAATATTTGTCAATCAAAGCTAGAACTAAATAATTTGTTTCTGCATTAGCAAAAAAATTTAAACGCTGTTCAAAATTCAACGTGTCAAGCGATCTTATGTGTAGTCTTTTTTAATTCATAGTTTCGATAAATGTAGATTGAGAAAGCAAAATAAATGATTTTTTTGCTACATCATAACATTTCTCATAGAGATAGTAGGAAGTCTAATTTCTTATGTCATTTAACGATGAAAAAAACAAAACTTTTCAACAATCTGTCTCACTAGAACCCTTAAACTTTAAAGTTTTGTATTAAATGTCTACTCTAAACGGTTAAAATATTCTTTAACTTTGACTCTAACCTCAGAAATCACTTTTATTTTTATTCTTCTTCTAATGATAATATTAAAGTTTGGTGTTCCTAATTACATTTTGATATGATTGTATATTCTTATTGGAAGAAGAAAAAAAATCTCTTCTCTATTCGATATATGTAGACTTAATTCTGCGAATGATAACGATTGTCAAGATATATTCTCATCTTTTGGCAGAAGATAAACAACGTCTATCAAATAGAAGAAGAAAAAAAAAAGAGGCAATAATATATTAGAAGTTAGATTTATATACATCTTTTTCTCTTCTTTCCAATCGTGTTTGTATTCTCGTTCGCTTGTTTGTCATCATCACCTCTCCTCAAAAATATTTAGCAATATACGCACTCCTTTCTATTCTTCTTCTTTTACTTTTATTATATGGATAATCCATTGTCTCCTCGTGCAAGCTCTTTTAGTATCGCATCATTGATTACGTCAGATAGTTGTGATGAAAATACAATTTATGCTGCTACATGCCAAGATAATGATAAAATATATTTAAATAATACAAATATTTTAAAATCTCTATCAACTTTAAACGAACATAATGGATTAACAGATTTATCATCTTGTATTCCACCAACATCAACAAAACAAAAATCAAATAATCAACATAATCAAATTACAAATTTACAAAAAAGTTTTACAACAATTAGAAATATGGAAGGTAAAGTAAAGTGTGAATATACTACTCTTTCTAGTAAGATATAACCAAGCGAAGAGCTGAATCAAATATCTTTACTGAGGATAAATATCGTATATTAAGTGTTTTGCTAAGAGAGTGTAAACTAATGTAAAAAAGATGAATCTTATGAAACTGTAAAACGTTCAAAATTTTAATAATATTTCAAAAAAGACTCTGTATTTTCAGCATAGTTTTTGTTCATATTTATCCACTTTTTAACCGAAAAAGTCCTTTATCTAAGGTGTTTCTTTTGTAATACATACGGTTCCTGAAGCTTGCATTTTTTTTTTTATATGAGACATATGAAAAGAATTGTCTTATTTCAACCAATAAGAGTAAAGTGTCAATTTCGTTTAAATAAAATTAATGTTTGTTTTTGTTTAAACTTTTAGATTACATTCAGAATGCCACAGAAAAAATAAAATCCACGGCATCATCAAATTCTGATAATTCGTTATTAAAATTAGATAATAATAACAATCAAGGCGTCGTTGGTAGTTTGACTGATATCAATAATGAAATAAAAAAACCGTTACATCCAAAATTAAACAATATACGTCTAGTTATCGAATCGAAAGAATTATGGGATGAATTTGATCAATTGGGAACAGAAATGATTGTTACAAAAGCAGGAAGGTATATAATTAACTAGAAGATTTGAGCATGAATGTTGAACTTATCTTTGAATAAATTAGAATATCATTGTATACACACAAATAATAGATGTCAGCTAACATACTGATAATTCCCTGTTTATGATTAACTATAGCATCCGCTAATTACACTTGTTTAATCTAAAACAGCATGAAATGTGTACAATCAAGTTTGCTGTTTGTGCATATGTGTGTGTGTGTATGAAAATCATTTGAAAAATATAGACTATATAGATATATACATCTGTATAGGTGGATACACATAGTTCGCTTGAGTCATATTAAGCGAATAACGATCATTTCTTATTATAAAAATATATACAGTATATAGGATATTTGATATCGTCATCATCAACCAACGCGTATTTGACAGATAAGAAAAAAAAAAAGTCATGATAAGACAAGAAAGTGATTTTTTCCTTGTTTTTATGATGGCTCAATTGAAAAATCTCATGAGATTAAAGAAATGATCTATCTATGGCACGTAGTAGACTTCCTTCGTTCGTCTTCGATGAAAACATGTGCTAAATTACTATATAATAAAGTGAAGTTGCTTCAGGAATGTGAATATCAATCACACGATGCATAGATACATTTATCAATGAACAAAATAGATAAATAAATTAAAGCATTGATTCGCCTTATTAACAAAAAGTGTGTCTATGCATATACAGTTCATATTTTTAGGTATATCTTGAACTGTCTACTATGTTATGCCCTAATCGAAGACGCTAACAATTTGTAGATAACTTTTGTGTTAGGAGGCAGGAAAAAAGACGTATAATTCATTCAGTATAATTCATCAGGTCATTCTAGCCAATATTCATTTCTTATTAGTACATATAAAAATTTCTCAATTTTTTTCAATCAATACAAAAAAATCTCCAACATGTTTAATTTTCGAGAAAAAGATTAGTGGAAAAAAAATTGAAAGCAGTGCTGATCTAAAGAAATGAGTTTATCTCAATAGCCAACATATAATTTTTTTGTTCAGACTACACCATAAGTGAAATAGATCTACAGAGATTTTAGATGACTAAATATATTTAAGAAGCGTAAATGTTCTGCTATTTGTTTAGTTTTTTCAAAGCCACACTAACATTTCATTTCTTTAATTCAGAATTCTTATGACAAATGTCCTCATAGTATAGATCGTATGAAAAATCCTAATAATTACGGCTGTTGTTATTGTTATCATTAAAGATTAAAAACTTTAACATCTATATTCTTATATTATGCATAAATAGTGATGACGTTTAAAATTCATCTAGTATTTTACTTAGTGTTAATTATTCCAGAGGTATGAAACTTAGAAACTACTTCCAGGTAACTTCAGAGTTATGTTGAAGAAATGGACTTTGTTTCATCAAACTTCTTCGACTTTTAAAGCGAATAGCAAGTCTAATGATCGTTGAGATGTGATATATTTCTGAAAGAAATAGAGATTATGCAAGAAAAATGTCACAATTTTTTTGCATATGTTATGAAATAGAAAAAACATCTCATAGAAGAAGTAGCTAAAAAATGATAGTTGTTCATCAACATACGATAGTTTACCTGCACGAGATACTGTAAATACGACGCGATCGAAAGCCTACGAAACAAGACGTGCATGTTCCACAGAAGATAATCATGATTAATGTTAATCGCTGTTAACTTGATCACATTCTGGGCATGATTAACATTATCCAAGCTTACTTTGATTGTGTTTAACGTTGTTGTGTGAACCAGTCACAGACTACACAAACTCCTGCAGATTAAGCTACTTTTTCTAAAATAATTTAAGAGTCAGATTAAAAATTTAAAGCTTGTGTATCTGCTAAATAAATAATTTCTTTGACAAGTAGGAATTGTGCATGGTTATGTAAGATTGCAATTTCAGTTGGTAGAACTCTTTTGTGCTAATTTACGAGCTCAACCGTTAGAAAACCAATAGATCTCTAGTTTGAACATAGTGTTCGTTATCATCTCCTCCACTCATTAGCAAATATGAATCAGGTAGATTCTTAAAATATGGTCAACATTGACACTGCTTTCGCATCATAGAACTTTTTTCGGAGTTTCAGTTATTTCTCTTATATAATAATTGTCGTTTTTTTCTCAAAGACGTATGTTTCCCACTTTGCAAGTGAAAATGTATGGAATGGATTCCAGTGCAACGTACATGTTAATGGTCGATTTTGTTCCACTTGATGATAAACGTTATCGATATGCATTTTACAGGTAAAATTATTATTATTATGTCTAAAAACAATCTTTTATTTAATTTATATTTCTCATTTTTTACTAGTTCAAGTTGGGTAGTTGCTGGTAAAGCCGATCCTCATTGTCCGGGTCGTGTTCATGTTCATCCTGATTCACCACAATCTGGTGCATCATGGATGAAAAATTTTGTCGTATTTGATAAATTAAAATTAACAAATAATTTACTCGATGAAAATGGCCATGTAAGTATTTTATATGAAGTATTTAAAAATCTTTATCGATTAATTAACCAAAATTTAGATAATTTTAAATTCAATGCATCGTTATCAACCACGTATTCATTGTGTTTATTTACCACCACCAAAATGTGATGATTTTATTATTGGACAAACACAAAATTTTCGTACATTTATATTTCAAGAAACAAAATTTATTGCTGTTACTGCATATCAAAACCATCGCATAACACAACTAAAAATTGCTAGTAATCCATTTGCAAAAGGATTTAGAGATTGTGATCCAGATGAATGGTAAGTATCGAATGTATTATATTTGATTTAAGTTATTATTCAATGTTCTTTATATAGTGTTGCCGAAGTTTTAAGTCATATAAATTCAAATCAAAGACTTCTTCGTTCACATCCAAAAACTACAAACTCCAATTCTAATAATAATACAATTCAGAATAATATTGGAAATATTGAAACATCGAATTCATTACAATTATTTAATGCTGTTCGAGCGAGATCAGCATTAAATTCATTCATGCAAGATCCACGTGGTACGACATGAGAAAAAAGTAATTCTCTAGAGTGATATTTGAAAATGAAATTCATTTTAAGAGAATAACTTTTATATAAAAGTAGATTTTTGACAAAATAAAACAAAAAATAGTTCGTTTTTTTTTTTTGACTCTTTAGATACATTGACACCAACAACATATTCTGCTCTAGTTGGAAATGATTTAGCCGAAGCTAGTTATGCCGCTAATTCAGCTGCAGCTGCATCAGCCTACGTTTATTCACAATTATCAGATTTGAATTATCCATCATCTCGAAGTTCATCTTGTTCTTCATCATCAACAACAATACGTATAAATCCTTATTCACGAAATAGTACCTATCCAATGTATACTCACAATAATGTTCATTCACCATCATCAACAAATGGATTTTATTCAACAACTAATTCACAATCATTAAGTTCATCTGAATATTCATAGAACTTTTTTGTTTGTGATACAGTTGTTCAAATACATTTTTTTTCTATTTCCATACTCTATCGAGTTATTATTATGTTTGTTCTAATTATATACAACACTTTTTGTTCATATTCGAGTTATACTATGTTCATCTTTTCTTCTATCTTTTTTCGTTTTTTTTTTTTTTATTTACTTCTGAAGTTTTTTTTTTGTTTTAGTTTTATTATTATTAATATTACCATGACTATTTCTTTTTCAATACATTATATTCATTTACTTCTTTTCATAATTACTTTTTGTGAGCTGGCGGTCAGATACCCAAGCTTTTCCTCAAATCTTCTGTATTTATTGTGTGAGTTATAGAATTGCATTAACATAACGTCATATTAACAAAAATACGAGACGAAATTTTTTTATTGTGCATATTTTTTATTAGCAGTGAGTCAACTGTTTTTGTTTTGTTTTTCTTAAATAAAAAATAAATTTTTTGTATTCATATTTAAAAGATTAAAAAGTGATCTAATTATTGTCGAAAAAACAATTGACATTGACTATCAGAAGAAACCGTTGAATCTCTGTATCATTCATTCACACAATAGTAACGATAAATTTACTAATCGTATTGGACTTGTTTCAGAATATAAATATAAAATTAGTATTAAATTTCAAATATTCGAATACATTTTCTTATGAATCATTTTCTTCAGACTATTGTTTAGTGACGAACGACGTATGTTTACTTTTATTCTTCTCTTTTTCCGTTATTGTTTGTATTAATTTGTCGAACTTTAAACACTATATTGCTAACTGTTTATATGATTGATGTCAAGATAAGTTTGCTCATGTTTATATGCAATCATCATGATTCTTTCTCTCTTTCTATTTATAAATAAATATTTTTCTCTTCGCGTGATAGAGAGTATTTGTGTATGATAACTATTTTAAGAGCTTTTCTTAGTCAATTGTATATAAATTTGTTAGTAATTAGATGATTTACTAATTATTGTAGTTTCTTCTTCTTCTTTTTTTTTTTATCATTTTGTGAAATAAACATGCAAATAAAGATATTGCCAAACATACACATTACCGTTAATGTTTGAAGAATTTTGATAAGATCATGATGATTGCTATCGTTCTTTGTGTGTACTTTACCTTTGATGTATTTATAAATGAATTATAGAAGAAGAAGAAAAAAGAAATTGTCTAAACATTTTATCAATAAATTGAAGAAGAATAAAACAAATCTTCTTTTTACCTATCTAAGAAAACCAAGTTTTGTCATTGATGCACATTGATTGCAATCGTCTCAACATATTTTTTTACTTCTAATGTTAACCTAATTTTTGCTGTAATCTGTTGAAAACATTAAGAATTATATTAGTTTAAAAAATGGAAACATGTTCAATTTTCTTAGACTAATGAGACAGATGTGTTCATGATCAAGAATGATTAATGAATTGTTATTAATGAACTACTGAATCAGTCGTTGGTGTGTATGTAGACTATTGAAATCGAATATTTATGGGAATATACAAGTGAGAGGAAACGATAACATCATTTTGATACTCACATAATATGTATCAAAATGTCTGAGGAAATGATCACTATGTAGTCACAATAAACAGAATAAATGAAAATTATTGAAAAACAAAAAAAAATTGAAAATAAAGATAGACATTTTCAAAGTAAAATATAAATTTTCAATTTATCTCATAGATTGAACCAATGATATTATTATTCTTACAGTTTATTAGAAGATAATAAAGATAAAGGAACTGAACTCTAATGTGATAATTATGTTACTTAAAAGACATTTATATCGAAAAGTTATTTCGTTTTTAAAAATTGAGAGTCAAAAATCAAGAATCTAGAGTATTTCATGTATGGACAAACGAAAGCAACTGATGTTACAACGAGACGAATAAATTATAAATAATAATCAATCATAAAAGCGAAACTGATAAAAAATTATTGCATTCTGAAATATACCATCATCCATCAAACAAAGTCAATTTTTGCCCTCTTCATTACAAAACGGTGTATAGAATAATAATGATACTACAAAAAACAAAAGAAAAAAAACATTCAAAAACAACCGAAACATCACACAAATAAAAATAAAAAATAAAATTGAATATCTTGTATATCATATGTATACGTAAAAAGTATTTAGTTTTCTATCACAAATTTTTGTTTTTAAATATTCGCTATTTATTGTTTGAAAATAACTTCCCTATATATTAAGTCTGAATTTAAAAAATTTAAAAATTACATTTAACAATAGATAAACAACGTTCATACAAGAAGAGTTTTTGCTATTCGGACGGAATTTTTAATACTGTTTTATAGAGAAAGTATAGTATAACTTCAATAATAGTGTAATAAACGAAAAAGAAAAAAATATTAAGTTGAATTATTGTTGACCTAATTTGAATTGATTTGTTTGATGAATATTTATGAAGTATTACGACTTCCTATAAATTTATTTCCTGCAAACATTCCGACTAATGTTAATGCAATAATCAAAAAGAAATGTGATGCAACAGCCAAATTGTACGACCATGACATGGCTATGCACGACGACGACGACGACGACACCAACCCATTATTATTGTACGATGGATCTCGAGAGGCAACGCCCCATGTCGCATAGGCAGACATAAGAAACATTGAACTAAAGAATAAAAATCCAGTGGTTACTAACGGTAAAATAGCAATACTTTCAAGAAAATTTGCTGCAACACCAGTAAAAATACCAAAAAATAATAATAATATGCTAACTACGGATAAACCACCTTGTGTTACTTTATTATCCGTGTTACAAGTCATATTCCAACAACTTTTAAATAATCCCACTTGATTACCCTGTCCATCATCCGTCCAATTGGGAGTGGCTACACTAATAATAAGTAATAATAATGCAAATGAAGCTATACCCAATCCCGAACACAACACCAGAGTCTCTGTTTTCATTTTTATCTAGATATAAATAGTAGTAAAAATAGCTTAAACTTTTAGTATTTTTCGCGGTAAATAACGCGGGTTTTGTTTAATGTTTCGTTTTGATATTTGTTTGTTGTTCGTTTTTTTTTCTCTTTTTTCAGACAGTCACTTATTTCTTTGGTTTTTTTTTTTTTTGTTATAATAATTGGGATATTTTTGAAATAAATCGAAAATATATTTCAGTATAATAAGCGATATAAAGAAGAAACAGAGCAAAGAAGAAAAAAAAAATAGAATCAAAGAGTACTATGATTTTTCAAATTGTACGTTTCTTTTTATAATCGTTGCAAATAATAATATAAAGTAGAATGATGAAAAAGAAGACGAAGAAAAAAAAAAAAACGTTTTTTTTTTTTATGATGAGAACATTGAAATATTATGCCAACTATCTTGAAAAAAGAGAAAAATGAAGATCATAAAATTTGTATTCTATTATACGAGAATCGCAGTAGATGAACAAGATCTATGCATATATTAAAACAGTTATTGGCAGCAAAAACAGCCTTTTTCTCTTTTTCTTTTGTTTTTCCTTCTATTATTTTTTATATTAATATTAAACTTATAAGAATGGTTTCAGAATAATACAAAATGTTAACAACATATCTAATAGAAAAAAAAACAACATAGAATGACAACGAATATGGGTAGAATAAAAACAAAAAAAAAAAGGCAAAACGTATTAAACATACAGTAACTCATAACATTTGTCATTTTAACAATGTCAGTATACAATTCTGAAAATGACGGCTGTATGTTCAATAAAAAAAACGTTTTTTTATTCTGAGAATAAAAGAAAGATGACCCCAGAAGAAAAAAAGTTTATTATATATAAAATTATAACAGAAAATTCAAGAATAGAAAGAAAAAGAGATGACTAATAGAAGTAAATAGAAAACTATTTTTTTGCTTCCGCAAAAGCCCATCTTATTTGCTTTTACTTCATCTAATGTTAGATGAGGGTTGGGGAAAATTTTACCAAATGAAAACCCCGTTCGTCAGTCATCGATGTTGACTTAATTCGGGATAAAAAAATCATCATCATTTACAAGACTAGAAAAGAGAAATGTGTATAAAAGACAAGTAAAATTAATTCTTGAAAAGAAACGAGAAGAGAAAAAAAAAAAAGTACCATATTCACATTTTAATGTTTGTTTGTTGTTAATATAATTTCAAATTATATTCTATTTTCTCCAGTTTCAATTACAGAAGATAAAGCTAATAAGTGCAGATGTCACGTTTCATACACACACACAACACCTCGATTTTCTCAAAATTGAATGTTTTATGAGTAGATTTATTTCAATAACCAAACACTATTATTTTTATTACTTTTTACAATGAAAATATATCCAATAGCAAATTGAGCTATTATTATTCTATGATAGGAAGTATGCCAACATGAGAAATTGAAAAAAAAACTAAATTTTTATGCTATTTAGAACTGATAAATAGGATAAAAGTAGTTTTATAACTATACTTATCTCTTTTCTTGTATTTTTTTATTTTTTGATACTAAAAAGAATACTCATAAATCATAGACAAATTATTAATTTCAAAATTTGATTCTATGTTTCATGATATTCTGACTCATTGAGCATGTGAGTCAATTTGAAAAATTATTATAGATTAAAAAAAACTTCAAAATATTTGATTAGATACAAAATATTTTATTCTCTCTGACAGAGCAATAAAAAATTTCTTTTTATCTTTAATACCACACATTTTTTCCCGTCTCATTGTCAATTTACAACAAAAGTTGCGTGTGTACTAAATCAATATAGTACACCTATTAGCCTATACGTTTTCATATTTGTTTACATTATAGATTTAAGACCTTGATCATTTCTCTAAAGAAAAAGAAAATAAAATGAACATTATTTATGTTTAATTATACATCTATCTGTCATTGTATAATAAATAAAACATTGCTCATTTTCAAAAACTAATAATAACTAATTTCACGTATATAGAGATGTATGAGTACCATTTTAACAATTCTCAAGGACCAAAAAATAATAGATAAATTGGACGGGGACATTGTCATCAAATCTTTTAAACTTTTCATTTCTTTTTTCACCGTTGAAAATTAACTTTTTATTACTGAAATTTATTTTAAATTTTAAAATTTTATACTATTTATACAAGAAGACTTTTATGTCCTTACTCAATATCTAAAACTTATTTGCAATCTTACTTACTTCTATATTTATAATTTGATATTTCTTTCTAAAGTACTCTTATTCGAAAATCTTGTTGCTTTTTTCTGTGTATCTAAAATACGGTTGAATGTCTGATTGACATACGAATAATGCTCGTAAAATATATTTTGGCATAAATTAAGAATAGAGATAAAGAACTGTTGAAAGATTTAGTAAAAGATACAGAATTCTGAAAAATAATCAGATTTTCTTCTATTTTTCGTTTATGTCAATGTATTAGAAAACGTTTTTTTGATATGAGATTATTTAGATCTTGACTGTAGTCAAAAAAGCTTGCACTGAACAAACTTATCTTTATGTAGAGCCAGTGATAAACCTAACTTCATTATCTTTCTGTGAATGGTTGTGGAAAAAATAAATCTTTTGAACATTCAAGAAAAAACAAAACAACAAAAAATTCAATTTAAATTTATAATTAAGAAAACCGTCTAGTAACAGTAAGAAATAGTTTTTGATTATTAAAATAATAACAAACAATAAACTATTTGAACAAACGCATAATTCAAGGTCATTTAAAAAATCATAGAAAGAATATAAATTGTTATTGAGTTAGTATTATTAAAACAGCAAATGGAGCTAAGAGTAACCACATATTTTCCACTAACAGGCAACAGTTGAGAAGGACATGGATAATGTTTTAGAACAGAAGATTTAGATCAACAATCTTTCTACACAGGGTCACAAATGTTGGGAAGGTGTGAGAGAATGTACACTCTCCGAATAATTGAAAACTTTGTCGTTTTTTTTCCAGCGAAAGGTTATTCAAAAATTAGTTTTTTTACAGTGTCTCTACAGACTTTGCTCGATGGACCACTTTTATTTGATACGCCCTGTTTCAGGAGACACATTTAGTTTTACATCTCCTTAATATTTGACATCTATTTGCACCACTATTCTTGCAATTCATTATGTTTAATAAAATGTTAATTAACAATTTTAAATCTTTTGAAACTTTTCGAAAGGTGACAATCAAATGAGTGAATGTAGGTTGATTTCGTATACTATCTTTTTTTTTATACTCGACGTTAAATTCAAAACATCTTTTTCCACATCACTAGAAAAGTAGTTGCTCATTTTTATTCTGCGTCTGATACATTTCAGTATATAGTAGAGATAAAAAGATCACGTCTAAACGTGAAATTTTCAAAACAATTTTCAGGCATATGTTTCAAATAGGCCGAGAAAATGTCAGAACTAATATAGTTTGTAAAAAGGAAAACAGAAAACATCTCAATTTATCGAAAATAAATTACCTATGCTGAAAAGTTTCCGTAAGAGTATTTTTTTATTCTAGCATTTCCTCCGGGAATTTTTTGAATTTTATTCTCACATCTCGTATACAAAAATCAATAAATATCTTCTCAAATTTTTTGCAAAAAAAGGCTTTCTCATTCTTTCTATTCATTGTAAAAATCTGTCACATCTAAACGACCGACTTCATTATTATTCTTAGATAGCATAAAAATTGACTCTTACAAATATGATGTTAGTTTCAGTCCGGCTTCAGTCGATTTGAAGACGATTCGATTAATAACGTCGTAAAGACTTTTAAAATACTGCAACTTTTTCAGCGCTATAAAACACCATAAGACTCTCGGGTAGATAGATCTATTTTGAAAGAGGTCTATTTAATAATATAAGGCCGTTTACAATTTTACAACTTTTCTACTGTTTTATATGACTAATTTCATGTGCAACTTTTGGACTTTTATGTATGGATCATATGTGTAGGATTTCTGAGTTCCAGTAAATTCGGATATTGAAATAATTTATGAATAATTTTGAAAACAATGGTGAAGAAATGCCATCGATGCCTTTTCTGTTCACTGTATCAAATTTAACTAAATAAACTAAATCATTAAAATCAAAAGAATCGGCTGGTTCTGAAAAGGTGTCAAATTATCAAGACCATATCAATGCCACATTACTTATTTGTAGTAGTGTCGTTTAATAATTTGCCATTTACTAACAAGTATCTAAAGTACTGGAAAATAGTGAGAATGTTATTCTCACCTAAAGACAGTTCAAGCTTTGTGAATAGTAATAAAACAAGATCGATCTTTCTTTTATCTTGTTTAGGTAAAGCTCATGAGAACTGTTCATTATATACTTAAGAAGATGGATGGATGGATCATTCCAGCAGCTCAAAGTAACTTTCGATCTAAACATCCCACCACCATAAGAATGGCACAATTATTCGAGATGCAGTACTAGAAAAGCATACAGCGACAATGGCCCTATACGTTGATTTGTGTAAGACATTTGATCAAATTTGACATGTTACATTAATGTACAAATTACATTGTCTGAATTGTCTAAAAGAATTCATTCAATGGATAAATATCTATCTTAGTGATCGTTCTTCTTATATTGAAATGAATGAAAAACAATCGGTAACATTTTCAATTCGCACAGAAGTGCCTCCAGAAATCTGTATTGGTTCTATTTTGTTTATATTATACCATGCTGATTTGCCATCATCAATACCATCTGCCACCAGACTATTTGTACGCTAATGATCACGTCATAGTACATCGACCATCACCGTGATGGAAAACTAATGGTCAGCAACAATGGGTACTAGACGAAGAATTCGACAGTAAATCGAACAAGTACTTGACGAACTGAAAGTTTATGCTTAAAAATGGAAACAACCCGTAAAAACAGATAAATTATATTATCAATGGTTACACAAACGTCAACGAATGAACGATATCACGTTGGAATTGAGTGATGGTGCCGTATCAACAG